AAGAAAAGAGCTGTAGTTCCGTTTAAGGCGCACCGGCTTTGCCATCCCCCCCCCCCCCCCCCCACAAATGTGAAGGTCTCAAGCTCAAGGCGGGTGGATTTGCCGCAGTTCAGCAAAAGGGTTTCTTGTTATTCTTCGACTCAACTTTGGCTGTTATTGGATTATTTGTGTCTCTGAAACTTGGCTCACTCGAACAAACCCATCAGGCGTCTCTTGTATTCCAGGTTATAGCGTCTATAGACCGTAAACATCGATTCAATGGAACCGTCCTTTAATGTATCGAAAAGAAGTGCTCTTATTGACGACTTCAGCCTGAACCTCTAGGTAAGAGACGCAGAAAGAAGTCAAGAGACGTTGCCAACAAAGTGTTAATTGACCCAGATAACAGAGAGTCCAACAAAAATAACAAGATCTTCAATACTCCTCTCTCTAGTTACTCTCTCATGGAACAATAACAAGCTCTGTTAGCATGTGACGGCAGCCGCCTGTGTCAGAGGACAGAGACCATTACCTTCTTTCATATCTGCCTCAAGACTTATTCGAGAATTGTTCATGCCGAGCATTTCCTTCCCATTCCCCCCATGTTGCTTCTCTTTGCATTGTGGCCATTCATTCGTTGTCAGTAAAATGAAGTGCAGTTACATTCAGGTGTTACTGCGGCTAAAGTGAAACAAGCCTGAACAAGAATTTTGGCTGAGGGTTCAGACGTTTGAAGCCTTTTGTCTGCTAGTTGTGTGACTGGGAGGTCCAACAGCTCTGTGAATTAAGTTCCCCATCTTGTGCCTGCTTTTCATTTCATTATGTGTTGGTGTGCTGCAGACATAAAGTTGTTTAAGAATGAACATTGTCATTCATACATTTAGGAATGGTGTAATGCAATCTGTGTTCTCTCACAAACAGAGTTCTAGCACCTTCTGGTGGCTGAAAGGGGAATAAAATGTGTATTTTCCAAGAATAATAATGTATCCTGTCCTATAGACCCTTTCACAGCCGACGTCATCAAAGATACACGTGGGCATGTGGGCAACAGAAGTCTTTCCAAAGCCGTCTAGACAAGTTGGCAAGCTTTAAACGTTGAATTAAAACCATTGCCAGCGTCACAATGTCTGCTTGTTGCATGTTCGGTTGTCAGAATTGATACTCCAACAGGGGATTCAAGTTCTACTGCAGTCCCGTGTTTCAGTTTAACGAGTAACCGTGTTAACTGGTGACTTTCAGACAAATACGTCCGTGATTGCTTGTAGTAACCAGGCGGCAACCTCCGGTTCTGACATGTGAAGCCAATGCAGAAGTGTCTTGAACCTGCATTCTCTCTAATGTCCATCAGGGGGCGACTCTGGTTGTATAGAAGTCTATGAGAAAATGACTCTACTTCTGTCTTGATTCATTACCTCAGTAAACATTGTCAACATGAGTTTATGATCTCAATCTCTAGTTTCAAGTCTTCTTCAATACAGCATGATGTTCATTTAGTAAATTATGGTCCATTTAGAGTCAAACAGACCATAAAGCACTTTATGCTTTAGGGCGGGGCTACCTTGTGATTGACAGGTCGCTACCCTACCAGAGTCTCTACGTCGCTCCTCTGCAGTCTTAATATGGTCACTTCTGTTCACCGGTTGCAAAAAGCCAAAATGGCGACAACCGAATCGCCGAACTTCGAGGCTTCAAAACGAACAGTCCACAAACCAACGGGTGACGTCACGACGACTACAGACGCTTCTTAGCCCATGGTAGTCACTTAACGGTTGGCGTAGGTACTAAACACAGATGAGTATGTATCTGATACTGATTGAAGGCTTTTACAAGGACACCTACATGTTCAGTTCTTGTTTTCAACAGCTGATATATTCTACTATTCTCTATTCAAACTAGACAAGCTTTTGCCGTACTTCCATTGCCAAACTGCGTGCGCACACGTCCGTACGGCATCATAGTTTCCAAACTGTTAATGGGTCCATAGAGTACTGCAGCAGTAAGATGTGATTAATTCACCACCGCCGTGTCTCTCCTCCGCAGATGGAAGTGGAATAGAAAGCGGCGCCTCCCCCGCGCCCCCGCAGCCCGCCTCGGGGAACGGAGTCATCGCTCAGCCCAAGAAGATCCGAGGCATCGGCTTCGGTGATATTTTCAGAGAAGGGTCGGTCAAACTAAGGGCCAGACTGCCGAGCCACGAACCGGAGGAGAAGAAGGAGAGAGTAAGTGAGAACATACAGTCTATGAAATGTTGTTCTAGCCGAATGTGCACGTACATACCACTGCTCACCAGTGTCACTGTTAAAGCCAGCAATCATCTGGAGGTGGTGACCATCAGGGTAAAGATTGCAGCTGAATAGTATTGAAAGGTGAAATTACAAAAACACTTTTTTCTCACACAAGATACAGAAGGACATTAGAACTGCTGTCAGAACTTCTTTACTTCAGCTCCTGTACTATATTTCGGGAGACATTTTTTTCTCTTTTACGTTTAAAAGATGATATGTATGTATGTAGGTAGGCAGTTTCTTTTTTTACTCACAGTGGCCGTGCTTTTCTTGCACCTCTATGGAAACAGAACAAACATGGCTAGAAGGAGGGGGCACTTAAAACATTGATTTTACTGTTATTATAGGTATAGTGCCATCGATCATTAAAAAAGGAAAAAAACACTTTCTTAATCATTTCTCTGACAAAAAGTGGGAAAAAAATGGAATATATATCTACAACATTTTTTGATAAAATGAGGGCTCCATGTTATATATATATATATATATAATTAATTTTTTTTTTTTTTTTTTTGCATATTTACAAGCTCTCCAGTCCTTTCTGCTCTGTGTAAACATACTGCAGTTCAGTCCAAGTGTCACTGACTGTTTTTTATGACTGTTGGTTTTACAGTTGCACTGAGGAGCACAGCGTTTAATATTTCTTACACGGTATCGTTTGTGCAATCAGTTTACTTTTTGGCAAAAGTGACACATGATGCGTTCAAGGACCATTTGAAAACCAGCAATAAGTTCTGTTTTTTGCAGATTCTGGCTTTGACAAACGGTGTATTTATATTTTTGTAAAGAAAACATTTCTCGTGGGGTTCAGAAGGGTAACTTGCTTCAATCCTTATTCACTGAAGGACTGCACCAAGGTTTTGTTTTAGCACATGCACTATGTTTTGTAACAGGTGAGGAATATCACCACAGACTGACCACTGTGTGAGTCAGATATAACACTGGGCATAGCCCAACACCTACTAGTAGGGCTGTACCAAATAGCTGGAAGCTTCATTCATAACGTTGGCATTTGAGTTAATGTTTTTACCTATTTACTAGGGTTGGGGGTTTGTGTAAGAATCAAGATTCTGAATCCAGTTACAATATCTATCCCTTCATTTATTTACATATTGCTGCTGAGGGACAGTAATCATACACTCATTGGCAAGTGTACTGAGAAATACAAAGGCAGCTCACCTCAGGTTAGCAGATTTTGTTTCTGTAACATGAAGCATATTTATTTTTTATTTCAATTTTTTAAATGGTTGTTTTTGAAATCACTGAGATGCATCATTGAGAAATACTAAAAACATTTCATTAATGTTTATTTGTGCAAGTTCAGCATGATCGCAATCAGTTGATACAACTTTTTCAAATGTAAAACTGCATAATCGTACACATGCAGACTGCAGAGACTCGGAGAGAATCACGAGAAACTGAAGGATTCACACCCACTACTGTTCACAGAAATAATCTAGTCAACGCACTCAACCAGCGGTCCTTCAGTGGAATCTGATGGTTCCTGACTCGTAGCCGTTCTAAATAGCCTGGCATCACATAATTTAAAGCTGCAACTTATGCAAATGAGATGAGGCTCATTTCCATCTGTGGTCTATGTAAATAACATCCACCCAAAATGTTTCAGTCCTGACAGTTACTAGCAGCAGGCTATGTAAACATATGTCTCACTTCTATCTCTTAACTATCTATACGACACACAGGTCTATTCTCTCTATTTCTGTGTCATTTGTAGAAAGATGCATCTTTCTGTTGTTTACACTGGAGGAACAGTCCCAGATTCACCTGAAGCTTCTTCTTTTTGTGAATACACCTGTTTCGCTGTCATCGGCACATTCAATGACCGTAAATTCAAGCAGGAAATACCAGATACACTGACACACAGTTTAAGATCAACTCAGCCAGTGTGGAGACAGGAAGTCTACTTTTTTAAATGGAAACAAAACCCAAATTTTTGATTTTTTTTTTTTCTGTTGTTTATTCGTTTATTTCGTATTTTGAGTTTTCATAAACACAAGGGAGGATATGGGATCAATGGCATGTTGATATGAAAGGGATGGTTTGGAAGAGGTGCTTCTCCATAGTCTGTTACAGCAGTGGATGGAGTTTGGAGAAACCATCAGTTAAAGTTAACGCTATATTTAGAATATCTGCAGCGGTTCACCTTGCTGTCAGACAGCTATAAAGCCTGTGTGTTCCTACGGGCAACTGAAGCAGTTCTATATGGTGTCGCCCAAGCCTCCAGACTCCATTGGGGAAAAACAACTAAAACAGTATTTTTACCTCAGACAGCACGGGAGTGGCTGGTCTACCGCTGCCTCCATCGGGTTAGTTAGCGAGTGTTATTGTGAATCTTTGGTTAGTCGTGATTCACCAAAGTCACACGATAACACAAAGAAACAAAAACTTTGGTTTTGAATCAAAAAGACAAGTGTAACCCAGAGATATGAAGGTGTAACCGGCAAAAAGCCATAAACCAGCCTCCACAATGCAGAGGAGGGATAGTAATTATCTGTAAACTCATATTCATGGAGACCTTTGTTCAAGCCCTGTAAAGAAACAAGTTCAATATTAAAAGCATGGTAAAGAAACGTAAGTTGAATATCCTGTAAACTATTTGATTTGGCTACAAAATATTGACTCAAATGAAGATTTTTTTTACACCTGTTTCTAAAGCATTTAACAGCGACTTGTCCTTCTTTGTATAATCCCTGGGCGTGTAAACGGTGCTTTTGTCAGTGAACTATTTGTGACGGTCACAAAAATTCCGAGGGGCACGACGAATCACCGCCGGGATTACGTCGTTTTCTGGCGCGCGCCTGTTACTACGGCGAGTGTCAACTAAGCTTAACAGATGGAGGCGGCGGCAGACAAGCAACCCCCATGTTCTTCCTGTTAAAATTCCTGTTTTCTTTTCTCCAATGGAGTCTGGTGGCGATGAGGATCACACAGATGGATACGAGGACTTCAGTTCCCCATCAGAACGGGCTGTCTGACAGCACAGCGCTGATGAAATATAGCACTTAAAGTGATATAGATTATTTTAGGTGTCTACAGTATGTCCACATTTACTGGTACTCCTGTCTGGTTTGTCTAAACTCCATCTACTGCAGTAATCCACTGACTGTGGAGAAGAACCTCATCCAACCACACTCCCAAATGTCCGACTATCCCGTTACCGTACTGACGTAGCCATTGATGACGTGGGCTCACTGCTTAGTTCAGCACGTGACTGCGTTCTGAAACTCTTCCCTCCTTCTCCTTGTCTCTCCTCTTCACAACAGCCCTCGCACTTTCTTTCACCACTAACACGGCTTCCCTCGCTCTCCTCCACTCCTCACATGTCGCATGCTCTCACGCTCTTCCTCCTCGCGGCCAAAGATATCTCCACTTGGCCTCGACCAATCCTCTCGCTGCTCTCCCCTCTGCCTGCAGCAGTATCGAGGACATAAAGCATCCTGCTCGGGACATTCTTTTTTTTTTTTTTTTTTGGGATGATTTTCAATTAATCCGAAAAGTTCTGTTGTACACCTGCCTGGTTACTTTTAGCAGGTTGATACTCTGCTTTCATTTCTCTCAGTCACCACAGCATGATGGTACTCCTTTTTTATTTTCGGGTTCTTTATTTCCATGTAGTCTTTATTTTATTTTTATGCTGTGACTGACTAATCATCACTTAATAATTCTTCTTTCTTTCCATATAATCTACAATCCTAAAAGGGCAGGTCCATTATTTATTTCTTTTTTTGACGTTTGTACATCATTCTGTAGCTTCCCAACGCTGTTCTTTATGTATTCAACACAACCGTTTGGTCGAAGTACGTTTTTGAGTCAAAAAGACGTTTTTCCAAGTGGTCTGACGTAGGTTTATGCTTAATGACGCTGCTACATACACAGTTTGTATACATCCTTGTATTCCGTCTATACAGTACCGCATGAATAAGTCCTTAAACCCGGAAATGTTACCACAAGCTTAAAAGATTTTATCGCTTTGTTCTACGATATAAAAGGGTTCAGTAAAAACCCTTCCGGCTTTTACGCTAGGCGGTAGCTAACAAGTGTCTAAATGAGACGACTAAAGGTCACCACTAGAACACTGGTCCTCCTTTAGCTTAGTGGAGGTGACGTGAAGTCATGTGACTCTGGTGGAGTTTTGTTTACTTTGTCCAGTTGCATTCACGCGTGGTAAAATCTCATTGTTTTTGTTGAGGGGACCAGTGTGATGCTAACTCTCTGGTGGCCTATTAACAATCCTCAATCCCTTCACCACTCTATTGCATACAGTAACTTAGCTGACGGTGGCACGCTCCTTAGCTAGGAGAAGCTCTTAGGAGTACCAGCGAGGAAGCTTAGTAAAGTGCTGCTGTGGACGCCGCGCTAGTTTGTCGCTAGTCACACGATAACAGAAACAAACTGACCAACCGAGGCAGCGGTAGACCAGCAGATCTCATGTCCTGCCGTGTTAAAATACTGCTTTTGTTAATGGGATCTGGTGACTTTGAAGAGCCCAAAGATAGCTCCTCCAGTGACCCGTTGAAACGTGCCGTCAGACAGCCTGCTACGACGGGGGAACGGAAACCGTTCTATTGATTTCTTCAAAACCTCCATTGACAAAAACAGTCATTTTGCCACACTGTAGAACAAGGGAGTAGACACACAACGCTGACTCACCTTGTGCTTGCATTCACATTATTCATAACCTTATTGATCAGCTCACTTTGGTAACCTACATCACATGAGTTTTTATCTGAAAACCTCTGAAAAGGATGCTGCTGGACCCGCCCCTTTAACTGCCCTTCAACCCCCCAAAATGAACAGCATCTTACACACACACACACACACACTTACACTCCACACTCACAGAGCCACGTGACTCCGCTCACTGGGTGCACACACACGAACCCGTCTCACAGACGGGGACTCCGCCACACATCCACTCATGTGCGCTAAATCATTTCCATCTGTATGGTTTGCTCCATTTTAGCCAATCCCATCATTACCATCCGCTGCAAAGCCCGCCCATCCCAACATGACAGACTCGCAGAGAGCGGACGGAGACGGCAAATCCAAAGGTAATGCACCGTAAAAGTACTGCAGAGGACACTTTGACGTGTGGAAACCTGTATTTACTGTCAGCTGTTCCTTGTCAGTGTGTGTGTGTGGGGGGGGTGAGTGTTTTTTTTCTGTTTGTCCTGTTTACTTCTAAAGTGGGCGTGCTAGCTCTGTTAGCATTTCTAGCGTCTGTCATCAGTTAAAAGCTCTACTGTGTAGTTTGGATATGATGAAAGATCCCTTATTCAGTTCTTCTGACAGACTGTGTTGATGTAAACCTTGTGTGTTTGTGTTCATCTAATGCGCTCCATTTGGTTTCCTTGAATCCTTGTTCAGACCCTTGTTGTATCTGTTTCCTCAGCAAAAGAGTACTGTAAGGTGACCTTTACCTTTGAGGGGACAAATGAGGACGAGCTGACCATCAAGGAGGGCGATATCGTCCACGTCCTGAGCAAGGTACGCGTTCACCGCCTCGTGCATGAAAGGAACACTTCACCGCTTGGTTTCTGTGGGGGGGTGAAAAGTCCATATTTTCACGTTTTAGAAATTTGTCAGCAAACTTTTGCTATTTGCCATCTTTTTTGCTGCACCTTGCCAACCCAATCAACTGGGGTGAACGTTTTCATCGACTAGTTACCAGTGTTGGTCAAGTAGGCGTTCAAAATGGCAGCGACATCTGGAGTTCAAGCTAAAAAATGTCCAATGCACATACAGTGCAATCTATTAGAAATATGCTCGAGCCAAAAAAACATCCACCTCAGGCCATTGTAACAAACGGGCAGCAGTTGGCCCGAGGGCCGTAATTTGGCCACCAATGAGTTAAATGGGAGGGACTTGATAAATGAACATGGATCTATGCGCTGATCATAAGTATTATTCTAAAACAAAACACCGTCTAAAGTCGTAAATGCAAACTGAAATGTACATAAAGATACACTGGGTAAACCGCAAGTCTGTTAATTGCATTCCCGTTTCCCTCACTTGCGTCTTTTCCTTGTGTCCTAGTCCCTCCCACCAGGGATGCATGGAGAGACGCAAGGAAACCATGCGAGGAGAGGGGAAACAAGGAAATATGTTTTAAGAGACATGAGACGTCCTTATTCTCCGAAGCGTCATGTGAAGCGACGCCTGTTTCTGAGTCTGTTCCCCATTTAACAGACTGCATTGAGTATTTATGCACAGTCTGTGGTATTTATACTGTGTTCTGTGTCCTGTTTATAAGTGCAGGAACAATTTCTACTGGCGGGGTGGGTTTGTCTTATTTATGAATTAATTGCGTCTTGAAATTCTGACTGTGAAGTCATTATTTAAAAAAACAGAATGTGATTATGGTTTCTCTTGAACACTGGAATTAATTTATTAGGCTCCATGTTTCAGGTTAAAGTTAAATGATAAAACTCATCAAACACTCAGGAATAATCAGCCTCACGTGACTGAATGAAATGATGATTATGTAAAAAGGGTTTAGTCTCTCCAGCTCTCTCTGACTTTAATTGTTTTCATAATAAAAGTTATTGAGGGAAATATCAGATCATGAAAACACAAATCTTTCTAATAAATGAAGGAAGTTGTTTGTGGTCCTTTTGTTGTTCAGACTACAATGAACATTTATTTAAACCAGATGGTGAATCAGAAAACTATTCAAATATAAAGTAGAGTTTAATCTGTGATCTGTCTTCACTCTGGTGTGAAACTCCAGAGATGTTGAGAATAATCAGTCCGATCAGCTGCAGCATCCGATCACATAACTTATCAACAATGAGGGGGCGTGTCGGTCGCTAAAACACTTCCTGGAAGGCTGCTCTCATGCACCCTCGCTCATGGCTCCTCAGAGATCCCTCCTTGCTCCTCGCTCTTTGATTCTCAGAGCAGAAATAAGAGCTTTGGGACGTCCGTCAATGTGGCGGAGCAGAACAACTTCCGGTTCAAGCGAGGAAATGACAATTAAGAGCCTTGGGATTGGGCCACAGACTGTTGGCTCAGCTCAGCTGCCTGTGACATCATGTCGAGGTGTGATGACTCTGACTCCTTCAGTTGCCCCACTAAGACTGCAGTAGAACGCTACCACCATCTAGTGGAGACAGATGAGAAGTGCTCGGTAAAAAGATCACAAGTGTTGTTTTTGATATCGTTTTTTCTTCTAGCTTTCTAGACTGACTTTAACTTTTGGATGGTAGTTTGTGAAGTTTCATTTATTTTCTTTAGAATCTGCCTCTTGCTGCAACGTAAATAAGTAGCAGGCCCGTTGGAGAGAATGTGACTTTTCTTTTTTTTTTTGGGGGATCTGCGACAGGACACCGGAGAGCCCGGCTGGTGGCGAGGGGAGATCGGGGGCAGAGACGGCGTCTTCCCGGACAACTTTGTAGTCGCGGTGTCTGAAGCAGAGAAAGAGGTGAGATCAGTTTAAGAGCCTCGTCTAAAAAGAGATGACTGTGATGTCGTTTCAGGACAGCATATAGTCTGCATGAAAACAAAAAACAAATGAATAATATTTTTTCACTTTTCACAGAGTTCAATCTTTGAAGCATCAACAGTCCTGATAATAACTTCCAAACATTCATTCCTTTTCAGAACGTAACCCTTGAAAGGCCTGTCACTACTTTTTATCATTATAACAAAGAGTACCTTCTGTATTTTTCAAACTGGACCCTCTTTTCTCATGTTTTAGTGTCAAAGTGACTACTGAGGACAGCAGTTTTTAAAATTGGTCCAGTATTGAGGGAGAACGCCGTTTCCTGCAGTTTAGTTTTGCTTGTTTTTTTTCGTCCCCCCTCAACAAGCCGAGCTCGTCAGTGGTTAAACGAGCACTTTCAGTGGACTTTAATGAGCAGCTTGCCTCTGTGTGATAACATCGCAGCCCGTTTAGAGGCTACTCCATCTACTGCGTTCTCCCCTCGATACTGGACCAGTTCCATTGCCCTGATTAGTCAGTTATCCATAAAAACATGGGAGAACAGGTTACAAAAAGACTAAAGTTACCTTTTTAAAAAGCTCTATAAAGTTTATCATGAAATATGTTTAGAAAACAAAACAAAACATGTAGAGTTGGGAGGGGGTGAGACTATTCCTCACCCTGCTCATGTTAATCTCAATTCCTGACGCATGGCGGTCCATTACCTTACATCATCTAATTGATATTCTGGAGCAGTAAAGCACAGCTTATGTTTTCCACATCACACATTGAATTCTGACGAAGGGCTTTCCCACTATCGGGTAACGAGGCCGACGGATAATCAGCCGGATGCATTTTAGCTTATTGCTCCGGCTTTTGAAAAGCAGCTGTAGCGAGGCCGTGATTTCCACAGACGTCATTACTTTATTTGATCCTGTCGTCCTTGTGTCCGTGTTTCAGACGCCCACGTCGAGAGGCTCGGTGAGATCATCTCCCAAGCAGGAGTCAGAAGAGGTAAGCCACCGGTGATGTGAGTGCCATGAAACACAATGGGTTCCTCTTTAAAGGGACGGTTGAGACCTTTTGAAGTGTTATAACCTATAGCAGGTGGAGGTACAGACCCTTCTCTTCAGAGCCACCAGACTCCCATGTTTGTCTCTCTGTCTTACGCAAAGATGCTCAACGCAGAGATGAAATCAGTGTCCTTATAACCCCGCGGAGGTCTCCCCGTGAAGGATACACTGAACTGTGACTCAGTGACGAATCTATCTATCTATCTATCTATATATATATATATATATATATATATATATATATATATATATATTTCTTTCTTTCTTTCTTTCTCTTAACAATATATTTCTCTTGTGTGAAAAGCACCACGTCTGAGGGCAAGGCGGGGCTCATAACCTGTTTTACAACATAGTCCTTCCGCTGACTACCTCACAAACCACAGACAGACACATCGAGCAGAACGCAGTGGGCGGGTTTCATAGTACAGTACAGACGCTGGCAGTTCACAGATCAGATTAATTCCTCTACATTCAATCAGCACGACCATCACAGCGGCCACTAGACAATGAGCAATGAATCCATCACCATGACAAACTCAATGCTTGACTGACAATTATTCTTTCAACTCATCACACAGGATTTTGTGAGACTACAGTGGGCGGCGCTCAGACCCTCTCAGGGGGTGTAGGGGGCATGTTCCCCCGTAATGGAGTTAAATGCACCAATCTGGTGCACTTTGAGAGCACTTAGTTATATTACACCACTGATAGAAAAACAAAGCACACTTATTCAAGTACTGTACTTAAGTACACTTTGAGATACTTGTACCATACTTGAGTGTTTTATGTAACTTTACACTTTTAGTCCAATACATGGGAAACATGAAAATATTAGTTTGTAGTTCGGCTTCTTTTCAGATTCTTGATACAACATATAAATCAACTAATAAACTATGATGTATTGTTAAGTAGTGTACAGTTAAGTATATACAGTAGTTCAAATGAGCTCCACCTTTACAGCTCCACAAGTGATGAAGGGATGAACACATTAAAGCATCAATAATTGTAATCCAATGATATAGGCCTACTGTAAATATATTACATGAATATAGAGTATACTTTTACTTTTGGTACATTAAATATATTTTGATGCGAATACTTTTGTATTTTGAATTAAGTAACATTGTGAATGCAGGACTTTTACTATCTCAATAAACAATTTAATCATAAACACACTGTATGAATATGAAAAGTGTCCCACTCAGATACTGGAAGTCATTTAGGCTTTGGGGTGAGTCCATGTCTACATCCAGACTTCTGGCTCAGTTTGTGGCCTTTAACGTTTGAATGCACTCGCTGTACGGGACCGCGGTCACACGCTTTTATAGTCGTGTAAATCTACGCATCGGCTGCATAATCGTGGCAAGATATTTAGTCGTCCGATAATCTGAGCTGGCGGGAGCGTGTAGAGGGAGAGCAGAAGAGAACGGAGCTCTGGGGATCTCCACATGTCGTTACGCTCGGATGTGTAATTACAGACAACGAAGTGGCCTCCGCCCTTCAAATAGGAATCCACGCAGTGATGTGTCGGGATGGGCCGCGCTGAGATTTAATAACGCAATAGGAATAATTATACACGCTGTGTTTTGAAGTGCGTGTCCTTCAAGAACTATTGACAAGAGCACTCTCAGTGAATAGTTGATCAGCACCAGTAAAGGTGCTGATCAAGGCAAGAAGCAGCTGACCTTCTGGAAGAATGTGATGCAGTCACGTTCCGCTCTTTAAGTCGACACGCCTCCCTTTCAAGCTGCTGTTGCCATGGTGTCTGCAATCTCTCTCTCTACGAATGATCGAAAACAATAAAAACGAACGTTGTTATTATTGAATATTCAAATAGCAAAGCAGTGGTAAAGCCAAAGCTTTAGCTTCTTCATGTACAGGCTGGGAAGCATGGTGGAAGTCAACAGCATGCGTATTACATGATATGGTCTTTGTTGTATTAGTGAATTGTCGCCCAGCCTTTGTACTGTATGCGAAAATAATTTACAATCCTCCGACCATTAAAGGCTTAAGTTCCAGGCTGGGATCTTGGATATTATTAGATGTTCTGTGTTAAGACCGAAACCCTAATCTGTCGTCCTTTTCTCCTTCCCTCTGCCTTCTGATTTCTGCAATTGAGAGAACAAATGTGAGTCACTCTCATCTATTTTTTTTTTTTGTTTCTCACCCTCTCTTCCTGTCAGAAGCCGAAGAAGCCACCTCCGCCGTCAAAAAGCATAGGTAAGAACCAACGTCCGCCTCATTTAACGCCCCCAGCTCAGTGGGGAGCGTTAGGAAATGGTGAGACTTGATTAGTGCAGTGGAACACGCTGGTTCTCCAACAAAAGCTCACTGGATACTGAATGGAGTCACCTTTTTAGACTGATTCAGAGTGTGCTGAGTGTGCAGAGCCACAGCAGGACCAAGGCTAAGTCAAAGTACCAAGACAGGTACTAAGTCAGATTTCAATTACTTTCTTTCAGGCGTCGACGAATAAAGAAGAAAATGTGTGTTGTTGTAATTCTCATTTCAGCCACAAGAGGCTGAAGTGCACCATTACACTGTGTTCTAAATAGAGCCAGAAGCATTCATGTTTTCCCTAATGGCAGTTTAGAGCCAATTTAAATACGTTTTTAACCAAAGAGTCCATGCAGGAATTTAGAACTCACCTGGAAGAAGTGTTTCGTGCTAATTAGACCATGGAGTAGTGTTGCACCGCCGCCTTTTGTGAGTATTACAACAACAACAACAACAAAAAAATGTTCACCTGTTCATCAACCCAGGAGAGAAAACTAAAAATGTAGATCAGACTTAGAAAATGGATCACCAGAATTGCATGCAATGCAACTCACGTTTTTACAATCACTTCAGCTCAGCACGTGCTGTGTCCTTGAGTGTTTTCTGCAGAGCAGGTAGGGGAGTGTTAAATGGGGTTGTAATGGTTTCCAGATGTCCAATCCCCTAAGGCCAGTGGCCGTATAGAAACTGTACATGAAACAAAAAAAGAAAGGAGGCTGAGAAGCCCTGACTTTACCCGATAAGAGCAAATTGTGTTCCCTTTGCATGATGTTTCCGAAATACAATCAGGGCTGAAAACGGCCAGTAATCGCATTACCTACGTGCGGTTCACCAGGAGAATGGAGAACGTACATGCAGAGGTCGATGAGGGCTTTTCTTGTTTTATCTCCTGGCACGTGGTTACCACATGAGCACAATTCACAGAGAGGACCGAGCGTTAAATGTAGAGTTGTAGTTCAACTCAATACATGGAACGTTTCAAAGACAACCCCTTTGTTCCAGATTTACGTGGTGGTTTCACTTAGTGTTTTGCAGTTTTCTTTCACCAAACATGGAAGTAGAAGGCGGCATAGTTTTACTGGTGGTGGAGTGTTACTGTTGAGGGGAGACACTGCCTGTGAATAGAGTAAAACTGTGAACTAATAGATATATAACAATGAAAGTTCCACAGTTGTTTACTTCGAGTAAGACCATTATGTTTTCTTTCTCTGAAATTGTATATTTAAATATGCAAATGAGGCATCATCTTATGGTAACTTGTGGTTAATTTAGGGGAAATCTACCAACGCAAAACGACAAACGTAGTAACATTTATTTTTCTCCCCACTTGTCTGAAAGAAGAAGTGTTATGGAAGCAAAATCGGCCAAAGTCGCCCAGCGCATGAAAAAAAAACTGTTTTTTCCTTTAGTGTCCTTTTAGTTCCAGTAAGCGCTTCACATCGGCACCAAGATCTGCAGTTTGCAAAACACATGCTTGCTTGCATCATCGTTTTCCTGTCTGAACAGGAAGTATTTGCGGAGCATGTGCATTCACAACCTCTACACCACGACATTGTGTTGCAGTTTGGTGTGTGTCTCTCTGAGGAATCTATGAATGTGTGTCCGTGCACAGACAAACCATAGGCGAGCGCATGCAGCTATACATGCACAGTACAGTGTGGGCCCGATAGAGATGCATATTGAATCTGTGTTTGCAACTGTCTCTCTGTGCGTGTGTGCGTGTGTGCGTGTGTGTGTGTGCGTGTGTGCGTGTGTGTGTGTGTGTGTGTGCGTGTGTGTGTGTGTGTGTGTGTGTGTGTGTGTGTGTGTGTGTGTACCCGGAGGTTTTCTTTGTGTGATTGTACTTGTGAAAGTGTGTGTTCCTCCTCATTGTCTGGTGAGTCTTGAATCAGTCGTGTTCGGACAGATTGTGGACCATGTTTCGTTTTTCAGCTCTCAGGCCGGAGGTTCCCAGCGCCGACAGGAAGCCTCATCCCATCAGGCCAGAGGACAGAGGTAGGACTGTCCATCTTTACTTCTTCACCCTCCTCAGCTCTTCTATCCTCTCTTTTTCTCAACGTCGTTCTCACCTTTGTATCACTTGTTCGAAGCTTTGACCTCCTTTTAAAAAAAAATGTGGAACACATCATTCCTCACATGCTGTGGTCCGTAGCACCACTATTGACCTGATGTAACCAGGAGCCATTCTGTTTCCTTTTAATTCAACTGTGCCTTCTTCCCTTTGTGACTTCTTACCCGGTGGTGGAAGATGCATCAAAAGTAAAAGTAGTGGTTCATTAGAAACATGTCCCTTGTAACTGATCGATTGTCAATACCAATGACTTGAATGTGTAGGCAGAATCTTTACTGTTGTAGCGGGTTGAGGTGGAGCTAGCTTATTCTATATCAGGTGGCAACAGCCGATTCTGAAAAGTGAAGACTTAAACCTGCATTCTTTCTAATGGCCATCAGGGGGCGACTCCTCTGGTTGCAAAAATAAGTCTGATTGTATAGAAGTCTATGAGAAAATGACTCTACATCTCTCTTGATTTATTCCCTCAGTAAACATTGTAAACATGAGGTTATGATCTCAATCTCTAGTTTCAAGTCTTCTTCAATACAGCATGATGTTCATTTAGTAAATGATGGTCCATTTAGAGTCAAACAGACCATAAAGCAGAGTATTCTTTAGGGCGGGGCTACATTGTAATTGACAGGTCGCTACCACGGTGTTGTCCGGTCTGGGAGTTGTCCGTGTTTTCGTCTTAGAACTTTAACCCTGTCGGTGTGTTTTCACTTCATGAAAGTTGATTATAAAATTTTGGTTGCTTACAAATGTCTTATTCAGCGCTTGGCTCCACCCTCTTGTGTCACTTCCGGTTGAAAAAACAAACAACATGGCGACAGCCATAAACCAAGTTGGCGACGGTCAAAGTGCCAAACTCGAGGCTTCAAACTCATAGTCCATAAACTGATGGTTGATGTCACTGTTACAAAGTCCACTTCTTATATACAGTCTATGTTTTGAATACAATTCGTTCATTTAGTCCAGTCTAGGAATCAGGCCCCTCCAAAGGGTCATCAGATTAAATAATGGGAGAGGAAAGAGGAAAACAGTTCTGCTGCATTGTCGGATGTCACGTAAAATGTCGCAAGCCACTTGTTTAACATTGTATTGTATTAAGATTATCATATGATTTTAATGGAAGCATCTCAATCTGAAAAGTACTTGTATCTCCTGGAGTATAAAGAAGCATAAACAAGTAATCAAGTGAAGTTCAAGTACCTCAAAATTGTACTTGATGCTTGAGTAAATGTAACTTTCCACCACTGTCTATTCATTTCGTCCTTCCTTCAGCACTCCTTCCTTTCTTTTTTCACTGTATTCATTTTTCCTACATTTGCTCTCTGAGTTTCATCCTTGCTCTTCTGTTACTCATGCTGCTCTTCCTCCACATTTCCATAGTGTGAGAATAGTCTGTTAACTCAAGACACCGTCGCATTTAGCGCTCTTCCTCGTCGCCTTAAAGGCATCGCTTTAGCTTTGTGTGTGACTCTAGTAATGCTCCTTTGAAAAGCCCCATTTTGTAAATACAAGCAAAATTGTTCCTTGTAATTGGTTATTTGTCTTTTGCCATCCGTCCTTTTCCGTGTTTTCTCTGTCTTCTTAAAGTTTTTAATTAGATTTTTTTCTAAATCTACCAAATTGGAATAATTGAATAAAAAGGATGATATGTTAATGTGACATTTCCAATATGTTAAAATCAAAGGTTTGTTAAAAACCCGCATAAACAAATCGGATATAACATACGAAATAAATGCAGGTACCAACAACCCACTAAACACATGAAATAAAACAAAAATAAAACCCCTGTTGCAAAGCTGCAAGAAGTATGGGAGCAAATTAATCTGTTATCCATAGATAGAAATAGAAGTGACTGATTTCGACAAACGCCTCTGTGGCGGTCGCTCTGTGATTGCAGGAAGCGCTGACACCTTGAGGTCAGATGGTTTGAGTTATCTAATCGCATCACATGTCGAGGCAAGCTCTGTTAAGTCATTCTTGGTAAGGAGACAGATGTGCTGTTAATGCAGTTTCTATCTTACTTCGGATCACACAGGAAATGAGCTCTGTGTGTGTGTGTGCGGTTTTATACTTGATACATAGTGAGGACCGTAACCTGTTTTTAACCGACTGAGTCGGGACGTTTTGGAAAGTGAGGACATTTTGGCCGGTCCTCACTTCTTCTAAAGCTTATTTTAGGGTTCAGACCTGATTTTAAGGTTCAGGTTAGAATTAGGGTTGGAGTAAGGGACTAGGGAATGTCGTATCTCAATCAAGATCCTCATCAAGATAACAGTACAGATGTGTGTGTGTAAATGGGTCTGCAAGAAGTTGCTTATACTACTGTGTCGGTGTCGCGTCTTTTTCAGATGTGATTTAATTGTATATTTAGAATTCAGTTTGGTTATATGGAGCTTTTTAAAATCATTATTAAAACTGATAATTAATAGTAAAATAATGGTTTATTAATATATAGTGATGAAATGGTGGTGGGTGTAGTAAATGTAGATTTTAGACAGCAATGGCATCAACATTTATTTAAAAATGTGTTCCTGGAGAAATATATTATTTATTATGAAATAATTTATTAAAGATATTTGAATTTAACAAGGTAAATACTGTGAGGTTGTTGTTGTTAGTGACCAAATCAATCTCATGTCATACAATTCCTTGTTTAAGCTTTAATCTAGATGTTAAAAACTGTCATCAACCTTGAGTTCTCTAGTTGCATCTTTCGTTCACAGCAGAATGTTCAAATGTAATTCTTATCTCTCCTCCTCAACAGTCTTCTAACATGAGGTTTAACCCTTTAGCCGTCAGTCCTTGTGAAGCTTATTACCCGCAATTTCATTTATGCCATTTTCAACTTGCACCCTCGGCGATGTCGGTTAACATCACTCATTTCATCCACGTTCTTTTCCCCTCACATTAAATGAGTACATGGTAGCACTTTCAGATGCAAATTAGATCGTGGAGCATTTCGAGCATAAAAATCTGTTGTAGATGTGATATGACAATCATTCACTATGAGCTACATCAACACTGCGAACATCCTTTTTTTTCTGGAATATAAGCTGAACAGATGTGTTCTGGACTCGTTAGGTGTTCATCGGATTGATAAGGTGACTGATTTCTGATGTGACACCGGTACACATATTGACTGTCATTTGCAGTATTTTTATTTGTTCTCGTCAAGGCAAACCAATTTCCCTCTCAGTAAGCCAATCACATGCTCAAGTGATAAATCAATTCAGTCAATCAATGATTGCAGGGCTATTTCTATCTTGTGTAACAATAGAAAAAAGAAAACAAGTGTTTGACCGTCATAAAGCAGTAAAATAGATCTCTTGAAATACTTCCAGTGTGTCTGACGGCTGTTGCTGGGGCTCCACAAGCTCCACAGTAATAATTAAACGGAGTGATTTAATCAGTCAGAACCGAAGATTGCCGCCTGATTACAATCAAACTCTTTTTCACTTCCCCGGAGACAAGAAGGGGCACACGTTCTGAACGGCCACTACACTAGTCCTCTCACTCAAAACAACGAAACAGTGCTGCCTGATGACGAGACGTTCAGCTGAGGACAAACTTCTATCAGCAGATACGCTTGTCGAACATCAATTTGTTCTTGTCGCTTCAGCGCTGCACAAAAACAAATTTACCTTTTGAGACTCAGACTTCGAAAGGATTTGCCTTGGTTTCCTGAGCGTCATTGTCGAGTTGAGTGCAGGAAGCTGAAATTTAGTCAGTTTCAATCTTCCATAATGATATTTTCAGTATGTGTTCAATTTCTCCTCTCTGCCTCTTTGTTTCTCTTTTATCATTCACAGTTTCATCAACATCTTTTTCCAACTCTCTTCTCACCTCTTCTCTGCTTTCAGTTGACAGGGCCGCACCAGATCACAAACCATCCAAGCCCGCGGCGCCGGTGGTCCCGCCCAAGAAGCCAGTCCCCCCTCCCGGGAAAGGCAGGCCCGGAGGCTTCCCCCCGAAGAGGCCGGACAAGCCTCTCGCTCCCTCGCCGAACCTCAAGTGAGTCCGTTATCCATGTCTATTTAGCCGTCAGTCCAGCATCTGCTCGTGTGCAGTTAATAAATTAGTCTTGTCTCTTGTGTGTTGATGTGAGCAGCAATTTTTACATGAATGTACTCTCGGGAGTACGGTAATTTCATGTTGAAAAAGTTTTCCCCTCCTTGTCTTCAGGCACAATGGAGAGGTGCCTTCCACGCGACCAAAGTCCGACTTCGAGCCGTTATTGCCCACCAAACCCAAAACGCTGTCCGGGGACTGGGGGGAGAAGTCCTTGGATATGGGTATGTACAGTATTGCCTCTAGATGTCACAGTCCAGAATAATGGAGGTGATTAGTTTTGCTTGTTGTTATGTCGGAATCTTGATTATTTGAACTGCAAAACGCACTCGGGGTGAAACGGAATGTTCCACGAGTGAGACGAAATGAGTAGTTTCCAATCTGTTTTTTTAGGCCAAAAGCGATGAATAGATTAGTTCCCCAAATAGTGCAGCACCCAGATCTGCCCCTGCAGTATATACTGTTAAAATATACTAATAATATACTGCTTACATTTGCATTCAATACTTAACTTCTTTCTTTACAGGCCTTGTATGAAGGCAATAAAGTAGTGCATGAATATGAGATATTAGTTTACAGATAACTACAATCCCTCCTCTGCATTGTGGAGGATTGTTTATGGCTTTTGCCGGTGACACCTACAGTCTGTGGGCATATCTCTGGGTTACATTTGTGGTCTTCTTGATTTTTCACGGTTCCTTTTGTTTGTACGCTCTCTGGCGTTTCGGAAAATAATAAGAGTATAAACGGCTCCGTTCATGCCCGGATCTCGCTCGCCGTCTGCGGAGGCTCACGCTACGGCGCCAAGCGCGAGTGTAAACAAAGCTTTATCTTCTACGACTCAGAATCGCAAGAAATCAACTACAAGGGTGGAACTCAAACACGACGGCACAGTTTACAACACAAACCTTCTACTTAATTTGGAAGAAAGGGGGAGCGCTTAAATCATGCTATTGTTATATAATACTAAAGCAGGTGGAGTCAGGCAATCATGAGGGAGTTCTCCACTGCTGGAGACGTGATGTCAGTAACAACCCTCTCTTCTTCCAGAACACACAGACTCAACTTCTGTTTTTACATAAGAAATGTTATCCCCCCAAAAATCCTCCCTACTCTATTAAACAGGCATTCTCAACTAGGTTACATTTTTCCATTTAGTTTTATGGATACAAAGATCTATTTGTATACCAAAGTGGTTTATTTGTTAATTTAATAGTCGATTATTTCAGAGCTGTAGTTTAGGTTTAGATGCCCTGTAGAAGAATACTACCTATTGGAATACCTATAATACCAGTTAAAAGACACATTCCTCGTGAACCTTTTACCACCAAGAGTTCCCTCACGTCGACCATTGAAACGTTGTCAGTCAGCAGTTTGCAGTCGTCAGGCTTTTGCACATTATGAGCTGTGCATCAATATGCAAATTTGCCTTCAATAAAATGGTAAAAGACGTGAGGGAAAACACGCAGAGCTTCAATCGACATAGGCAGAGCTCGGTGTAAGCGTGAGAGAAATTTAAAAAAAAAAAAAAAAGACAGGACGTGGCGAGGAAACTGAACAGGGGGAGACGTAATTGAAAAGATGAATAGTTTTGAGGCGTTCAGTGATAAACAGAAGCACAGGGGGGAAGAGAAACGGGGGGGCGCCAAAGGGTCCAGAAACAACTAGGATTGATTTGTTTTTACCCACCAGAGAGTTCTCTGTTTGCGACAAATTCCGTGCAGGGGCGACTAAAAGCCGCTAAAACGCCAGACCACTCATTCTGGCATCCTGAACCACGCACATTGCCGTCGAACATGAAAATCCAATCTCGCCTGCAGTCACGTGCGATGCTCTTCCGACTGCAGCAGGTTTGTCACTGTGAAGCTGCAAAGTGCTGTTACACAACGGCCGAGTGAAAATGACTCATTCTGTCCTCTGTTTAAGTTTTTTGTGCTCCTATGCACACACTCATAAACAAATGTCATATCACCTTATAGTTACATTTAAATGTGTATCGTACATCCTCTTTATTTCCAAAGTGCAAAGTCGTCACGCTGAAAATTAGCACGCAGATTTTCCTTAGTCCACGTGTCTCATTTTCGCATCGCACTTAGAAACGGCTACATGAGAATTTACGGTTGCTCAGCAGTCACTCGATGTCTGTTTGAGAATGTGTTCAGACGTTAAATGGCATTTTACCAGAACTTAGATAGAATGCACTGTAGCATTTACCATTTAGCATTGTGCTAATTCTGCTGTTCCAGAGAGAATATACCTGATGTTAGCTAGCTATTAACATGGCCTCTGAGGGAAAATACGTCCAAAGAATTGGAGCAGCAACAGCTTACGTACCAACGCATACTAAAGGAACCTAGTTTGTGTATTTTCCAACTGATACACCAATGTTCAAGCGTGTGTACTTCATTGCTGAAGTACTGGACAGCACAGTCCTGTATGGCATACCTTCATCACTCACTTCGACCAATGGCGTAACTTCGTCACTCGGCAACTCTATCACCCATTGACAGATTTAAGAGTTTAAAGGGCTATAGGCTCATTTTTCTGCTGCCCAAGCTGTTCACGAGCAATAATGAAATGAGATTGCGCGTTCACCCCATTACTCATCGGTTTTCCTTCTCCCACTCTGCCTCCCCCATCTATTCCCAACAGATCTGATCAGTTTTGACGAGTTGTCGTCTACCTCGGAGAAGCTCTCTCACCCCACTGCTAACAGACCAAAGATGCCTGGCAGGAGGCTGCCCGCCCAGTTTGGCGGAGGACATTCGGTGAGTGCACACAAGCACCTCGGCAACTCGCAACTAGCCCCATCATGACCATCATGTTCTACATGTCAGGATGAGCAAAATGTTGGAAATCGTTACCGTTTCTTTCCAATTTGCATTTTACTGCAGGATATCATGTCACATTGCTGTTGCAGGTGGATAGTCACATGATACGGTTGATTTACACATGCAGTACTGTGTAGCAGATTGGGTTGGGTTCTGATAACTGTTCCATTTTAGACCTGGCTCCAGTAGGCCAAATACCTAGATTCATTCAAGTTAATACAAGGAACGTTTAACTGGTTATGAAGCAGTCTCAATGCAATACTGACGCCTCTGTATGACCTATGCTAGTAAACGAGAACAGCAGAGAGAAGATTGGCTATTTCTATGTCGTTATTCTTAATGCTTGTCATCGGTGCCACCGGGTCAGATTCTGCTAAAATCAGATGAAATCATGCTGGTTCACCAGAAACTCCTTCGGCTCAGACTCCAGCGGGGTTTCCAGCAGGGACCAGTCCACCGTGGACGGACCCAGATCCAGCTTTGCTGCCGGTGGTAGGAGGAGAGCTACTGATTTTGTCCACAGGGGCCCGCCAAAATCAACACAAAGATGAAAGTTCCTCGCAGCAGCTTTCAGCTCAAACATATAACAAGATTTCTTAACAAACCTTTTTTTCTTTTCTACCTCTTTTACATTTTTTTTATCTATATTATATTTTATTATTCATCATAACCTAAAACTACAATTTAGCTTTTGATAAACTTTGCTTTCTCCAGTTGAAATGAGAAAACACAACTGGCATCAAATGAATCAGCTAATCAACATCAATTCAAGCTAAAAAGACACTTTTGGCTGTTGTCAAGTGTCTATTCTTTGTTTATATTAATCTACAGTAGTAATTCAACCAGGCCATCAACTTCATATTGTTGCATACGGACCTTTCATATTCAAAGTCAGCTTTCATGAGGGCGTCTTTGGCTAAGTGGAGAGCAAGGCCGTCCTTCAATCAGAGGATCGGTGGTTCGATCCCCGGCTCCGCTAGTCGCATGTCGATGTGTCCTTGAGCAAGACACTTAACCCAAAAATTGCTCCCGTCCCGTAGCTGTTTAGAAATGTGCTAGAATCTGAATTGTAAGTCGCTTTGGATAAAAGCTTCTGCTAAATGACTGTAATGTAATGTAATAAGGCTACACTTATTACTTTAAAAAAAGTTACATTTTTCAGATTGGATCAACAGGTTATACATGTTAATAAGGCTACCATTAAAAACTCTCTGGCTCATCGGCCAAAAATACGTTATTACATATCAGATCTGGGATTTTTTTATCTTATTTTCTCGCTCTCTTCTGAAATGGATTTTCCTTTCACTCTGAGGTCCCTTGGTTCTCTGTTACCCATCACACCCCTTCACTCACTCACACTCTGTCACACTCTCTCTCTCACACACACACACACAAGTAGCCCCGCCTCACGACTGTGTGAGAGTAACTGTCAGGAGTCACCGGGGACGGGCACTACCCCGAGTGTTATCACGTTCCCCATTAGTCAGGTCCGCCTCTCAGGAAGCTGTATGCTGACAGTCAAACGTAAAGTGAATGTGACTCAAACAATGAATCAAACTCTTCCCTCGCAGCCCACCAAGGAGGTGAGCATGGAGAAGTCCTTCAGGTTCGATGAGGACGATGCTGCTGCCAAACCAAAGCTGACAGAAACCAGAAAGGTAACTTAGAGCGCCATCTTTCACCAGATGACAAACACTGCAAATGGTACGATAGCCATCAAATGGTTTGCTACAATGACCCCCTTAAAATGCCTCATCACTATAACTCAAAGTTGTTGGGTGTTAAATATCATATGTCTAATATCAATTCTCATGTCATTATATTACTCTGTGTGTAGCGGTTTCTCAGTATTGTTTGTTGTGTCTTTAGCTTTGGGATGCAAGCATCAGAACTCTCTTGTCGCAGAAGACAAAAAATGAAATACAATATATATTTTACAACCATGTTATTAATACTGGTTGAAAGTGAGGAGCTGGAGCTACTGCTGTAGAATGGTTAAAGGGCCAGTGTGTCACATTCTGGTGGATCTATTTGCAGAAGTGGAATATAATATTCATAATAATAGTTCTTCGTGAGCCACAGCGAAGACCTCACTTTGCGGTTTCCTCTCACTGAAATGGAGGGATGTCATTTCAATTCCCACTCCTTTGTGGAAAAGACATGGCCAACAAAGAGCGACATAACATCACTGCCTTTTCCTCTTCTATTGCAACTGTTTGGAGTCGAAGTGAGTCTAAGCAACTTACACTCAAAAGAAAGATGCATCACAGTGTTGAATAAATTATTAGTAAAACACACTTGCTCATTTTTAATACACTGGGAGTCACTTGGTCTGGCATGACCATTAGCTTATTGTGGCTAACGTTAGCCGACTTAAAGGGCCAGTGTGTAGGCTTACGGGGATCTATTAGCAGCAGAAGAAGAAGAATCGTTGGCTTAGAATGAGCCTCTCATGTCTGCATAGGGACCAGGTCCTCTTCATGGAGTCCTCCATGTCACACCGCCGTGTTTCTACAGAAGCCCAGACCGGACAAACTAACACTGGCTCTAGAGAGAGCCTTTCACATCACCTCGAGGCCGCCGTAGTCTCCCGACACGCCTGTCGAAACTTTGGTAACGTGAGACGCAGAGTGCAAAACCGCGGTACTGCCGACCGCCGGACGTCTTCAATCGCTTCCAAAGTGGTGTTATTATGGTCTGCATATCCTCTGAGTGAGGGGGAACGGACGTCATCACGGTTTTGCAGCTTATAAGCTCTTTGTCCATTTTTCCCCCCCAGAAATCATAAATACAGACTTAACAAATCAGCAGTGGCCAGAAGAAAGGAAAAAAGAATACAAGAGAGCAAATGGAAACCGTGAAGACAATAAAAAACAACCCCAGAGAAGCCATATTAGAGAGAGGTACACAGTGTGATCTCCCACCAGATACTTATCAAATATTGATATTCGCAGGTTATCTTTCTTTTTTTTATACATTTTATAGACCTGACGATTAATTGATTATTCACACGCCACTGTCACAATAATCTATTGTTAAAGTAAGACTTGCAAGCATGGAGCACTGCGTCATGTACATATGATTCGTTTGAGCACTTTCCAGGGACAATATATGAACAACATGAAAGACGAGCTGGTTAATTGGCACCTTTCCGTCAGTGAGACAGTCCTCCGCGTGGGGAGGACCACCGCCTGCTATTCAGGCCGCAGTTCAGTAATTGCCTCAGATGCTATCGAGTCTGGATTGGTCATGCTCAGGCCGAGACCAATTAGACCCGGCTATTCAGCTGGGGGGGTGCAGATCATCTATTGTTAAAAAAAACCCACATACAAGAGACAGAAGAAGCAGGCGGAGTAAAGCTTTGCTTGCAGCGCTCATAACCCAAACAGCTCTGTGTGTGTGTGTGTGTGTGTGTGTGTGTGTGTGTGTGTGTGTGTGTGTGTGTGTGTGTCCTTCTCCTCACCCTCTTGTTCAAATACTGTAGATGCAGACGAATTAAAGGATAAAAACTCAAGGAAACGCAATAAAACGCATGATTGCAAGTGCTTCCTTTTAAAGGTGAACTGCGTATTTGGTCAAGGATGCGTTTGTGTGTCTTAAAGCAACAGTCGCATGTATGTTGAGAGAGTTAGCGGTCACTGTGATCATTCCTCCTCTGCATACCAGTCCTGAAGGGATCCCTTTTAACATTATTACAACAAGCCGTACCTCTTTCTGAGTGATTATAACAAAGAAAAGCTCCTTATTGTCTGTGTTCTTCACTATACACAGGCAAAACTATTTCTATACAGTATGACTAACACGGCATTGGATACAGTCAACACATGAACTTTAACCTGGAGCCTGGTAAACATGTAACTATAATCATCATGACTTAGATAGAATCTGAAAAAACAAAAGGCCTGGTGAGAACATCCATATATGAACAGTAAATATAAATCGTACTGCTCTCCAGTCAGTTCCACTCCTTGTCACACGGTCAAAGCGTGGCGTGGCAATTCACCAGTTGTTTTCTTCACCTACTCTCATTTATGTCAGGTTTTTTTGTGTTTTCATCCCATATTTTCCAGGTGTTATTTAATTGTATTTTATCTTTGTCATTTCATGTGCTGGACATTATTCAATATTATGGTAGACTGCTCAGTTGGCCTCATGTTGCATTAGTATTTAAATTGAAAGGAAAGGTTTTTTTTAAAAACGCTAGGTTTGGAATATGTGGTCAAAAGCACACATTCCCATTGGGTGTGATTATCTGGTATTAGTGGAATATGTAAGTAGAAACTAAACCAGAGCGAATAATGTCATGAACTGAATGGACCCTTGATCAATCATTATAAATATTAAAGGTAGCCTGTATTACTTTATTTTTATTTTACTAACAAATGTCCACTTTCGCCGTGGACATGTGTGTTGAATGCAGTTCCCTCTTCAGAGCAGATTTTTGCAGAACAATCATAAAGGAATACTTGACCCCCAAAATGACCATTTGTATATATTAATCATTCACCGTGTGCTACCTTAATGTCTTGAAGAAAACCTTTTTCTCGCATTCCTCCACGTTTTTCGAATTAACGTTCACCGCGGAGGCACGCGAGAAAGATGAAGTTGTCTTAAAGAATTCAAGGTAACGCGAGGCGAGTACTTGATATACAGGTGTACATTGTGTGAGAGAAGTACTCCGCAACCTCGGAGTCATGTTCGACAGCAACCTCTCCTTTGAACACCACGTCAAACAAATCACCAGAACTGCCTTTTTCCACTTAAAAAACATCGCCCGTCTCCGCCCATCACTCTCCTCATCTGCTGCTGAAACTCCAGAGTAGCTTTTTAAGTTCACCACATAAAGACAGCAGGAGAAATTTGCGGTTAGACGAGCCCACACTACGCTTAGCTTCTAGTATCAGTGAAGTCAACGCGTGCATTGTTATTTCTCATAGAGGCATTTCTCTCCCGAGAGATGGATGTGATAAAAGCATCGACGGAGAATGTTCGGTGCCGTGTGGGATCAGAAAAGCTGTCAGTGATGAGAGGTCTATGCACTGTAGCCCAACAATATCCTTTTATTTGCAGTTTTCTTTCAAAGGTCAATGCTAGTTGTGAGAGTGCAGTGATGACAAAAATGAAGTGAAAGATGCAGAAACGATGTGGAAGGATCTGATTAATCCTAGGTCACCCATGCTCTATATTCCGGACATTGTCCCCTCTCAAGAAAGAGTCATTGCAAATCAACAGTTGCCTTGTAACAAGCCCTGCACAAAGGATCACTGAACACATTCGATGAGTCTGAAAATGAACGGTGATTTGTGAGCCAAATAAGGGAATATCTGCTGCTCCAGAAGAATTCAACACATTTGGCAAATCCCTGTCTGTCTGACTCTGTCTTGTATTTTTCGTCCTTCACAGCCTTCCACGAACACCTTATCCCAGTCATCGGCACTCCTCAGGCCCGCCACGACTGGCACCGAGGCCAAGCCGAGCCCCGCGGCAGCCCCGAGCTCAGAGGGCAGCCGGGCCCGACTGGAGCCTGACGAGCCCAACGGCGAGCTAACCGAGCTGAGGAGCCAGATGAAGGAGCTGCTGATGTCTGTGGAGCTGCTCAAGGCTCAGCAAATGTAATGCAGCTCAGTGCAGATGGGAGCAGGGTTATGGAGCTTTGTTCCCATCTTTATTGTGGTTCAGCTTGTAAATGACATTTAGCTTCTACACATACTAATGAGTCTATATGTCTGTTTCCAGGAGAGAGATCGCGGAGCTACGAGCAGAGCTGGATGAGGAGAGGCTGAAGCGCGTGGCCTTGCAGGTAACATTGATCGCCATAGCAACACATGCCGGGCTGTCGACATTCATTAGTTTAGCCAAATGTTGATGAAGACCAGAACAAAGACAATGGCTGGAATGCACACCCATCAAACACATTGTACCGTGCTTCATTACAGCTTGTTACATTGTATCAAAAGAAAAAAGAGCAGACCGTTCAGCCAATGTTTTTTTTCTTTTAAATGATTATTATAATATTTTATGTAAGCTGGGTCAGCTCCTTCCATTAGTCACATGGCTGGCGGCGTGCTCGCTTTAGTGGTCCCTGGAGAGTGAACACATTCAGCCTCCCTGTGTTCTGGCGTGACCCGGCATCACAAAAAAAAGCAAACAGCGGTGGACGCGAACCCCGGCCCATCCCAGCACGGCGTCGATACCAATCACATCACAGGAGGATGGAGCCCCCTGCAGAAAGCCCTCGGCATACACAGTCCACACACACACACAGAAACATAGCCGCAGATTAGTTCCCCCACCACACGGTTCATTTCTACTCCCACAGATGTGTAGGAAGAAGAGACGCCAACCAGGGAAAGACGAAGATGATGAAAACAATGGAGAGATTGCAGTCACACTTCTTTTCCCTCAGGACTTTGGAGCTTTTCCTCTCGATTCGAATGGATTGTTTAATGCTTTCTCTCTTTCCCTTCCATAGAAAATCTTTTTTCCGCTGGCTTCCTGTGCACATTAACTCTTGTATTTCTTAACTGGCCCCCTTTTAATAGCCTCGAATAAGTCATTAAAAACGAATCACTGTAACATACATCAGTGTTATAAGAGCTACCTAAAATGAAAGAATTCAGCTTTGCGAAAATGTATTTAATGTGTAGGAATCATTCAATTTCACTTGGTCCACGTCGGCTGAAGTTCTCCTCCAGCTCCTGGCTCCGGCTTCATTGTCATTCCGGTACTCCTAATCCCCGGCAGTAATAAAACCTCCACCATTGTGCCTCACAGCGGGGATCAACGTTGCCTGGATCACGGGCTCAAAACCCTCCCTGGCAGATAGAGTAGACAAACTCTGCTGGAGGGATGGGAAGTTCTCTATCAGCGTCACAGCCTCCCGTACTGAGTGTGTGTGTGTGTGTGTGTGTGTGTGTGTGTGTGTGTGTGTGTGTGTGTCATTGTGTCCTCACAGATAGAGATAGAAAAACTGAAGCGGACCGTCCACTCGACGTGAAGCCGGCGTCCCGATCAGCGGTGAGCCTCGAGATCAGCCGCCGGCCCTTTCGGACCAACCGGAGAGCGGCAGAAGGGGGGCGGTGACCCGGACGGATTGTTCAGCGGACGGGGGAGAGGGGGGGGAAATCACGAGAACCCCCGGGCGCACAATCCTTTTTTTTTTTTTTTTTTTTTTTTTTTCTGTGACCTACGAAAATACACTCTCCCCATATTTGTAAGAATTACACTTTTGCACATATAAAAACATTATCAAGCTACATGTAATTAAGTTACAAATATATATGTTTTTTCTTTTCTTTTTTTTTTGCCAACACAACAAAATTACAACAGAGGCCTTACTTCAAACTACTGCGCTGCCCCTCCCACTCTCTCCCCTGTCACTCCAGCGTTCCTTGAACCCCTCAGGGAGGAGGTTCGCTCTCAGTACTACTGACTTTGTATAAAGCAAGGGAGCGCTTGTCTTCCTCGCCTCAATTGTTTGTTTTTTTTAAACGATGCACAAATTTTAAAAAAGAGAAAATGTTCGATTTCAGTTAACATCTTCTGATTCCTCAAAGCAAATTCATTTTTTTTCTTTTCCCAGTGCTCCACCCCGAGTCTGCGGTGCTTTCGGAGAGAGAGCGCTCTGCTTTCTTTCCTCTTTTTTATGTTTTTTCTGCCCAGGGTAACACTACTGTGCCTGTTTTTAAAAAAAAAAAAAAGAAGAAAAAAAAAAGAATTATATTAAGTTTTTAACGGGAGCGAATATATATATATATATATCTATATATATATATCTATATATATATATATATATCACAACGGTGTCTGGACAGTTTGCAGCATGATATATTGTATATCTATATTTTTTAAGTCTACTGACATGCCTAGTCAAATGCTATATCCAGGGCCTCTCCTATGATGGTGTCTTCTATTTTTTGTCGAGCTGTTTCGCTCGCAGGGAATGTTTCTCATTCAGAGTTCTATATTCTGCAGACCATGCAAACCGAATCCACATGCACACAACACAATAAGACAGACTGCACTCTTCTGTTATCAAGGTTGCTGACCAACACAGTGATCATCTCTGCAACCTGCTTTTAAGCCTCTTAACCTAATCCCCTTTCTACCTCTTCCTCTCCTTTCTCCCATCCCTCTCTGATTCAGAGCGATTCGTTTGTCTCTGCTTTGTGTCGCGCATGAGAATCAGCTGTCTTCTCCTCATCCTACATGATCTGTTCTGGTCTACATTCCGAGTACACACTAAACTGGAAGGAGCGTGAATGAAAATGAATTAAATCCCCTATGTGTAGGTTTTTTTTTTTTTTTTTTTTACGTGATTATATAATCCTTCACATTACTTATTCTTGGTGGAACTTTCTGTGTGTGTTGAAAAACGAGACAATCCCGGGTGAAATTGGTGCAATCTGTGTGTTTTAGCATCATCGCTCTAGAGCTAACAATCGCCATCCGTCTCTCACGTAGTTTGTCGATCCACCTCTTTGGACCCAAACTGGAATATGCCGATTACTATTGTATGGATTGCAAAGACATTTGGTGCATTCATGGTCCCCAGAGGGCGAATCCTAACGATGTTTGCAACCCCCTGATTTTTGTTTCAGTTTTTTTTGTTCGACGCCATCAACAGATCAAAGTTATTGATTTGAAATATCTCAATATTTAACGGACGCGTTCATTGTTACCACATGTTATATCTTCACTTATCCTCTGACTTTTCAGGGTAATATTTTCGAGTAACCTAACGCCACGCTGGAGAGCAGTTTTTCACTGACACCTCTCTGACCACACCCACACAGTGAGGTCACGGCATACTGACACACCTTGGAGTGCACTTCTAAGTCACTGCAGCAAGGTGCAGTCGGTTTTAAGTCTTTATTAGCAAATGTTAACATGCTAAACTTACACATTAACATTGTTGCCTGACCAATACTGGATTATCGAGGCCGATATTAATATATGAAATATATGAAGTTTAAAAAAGATCTTCAAAAAACATCGACTGTTGAATTAAAAAAAACATACACAAATATACAGCATAAAAAAACATTTGATGAGGATTATTTTTCCAATTACAAACGAGATACGCAAAGTCGTCGATTTATAACAAGTTGTGCATTTTACAGTTTCACTGATACCACCAGTAGAAGTCGCCAACGGCTAAAAAAAAAACGTTCAAATCCTACTCATTAGAACTTTAGGAGGAAGCTTACAAACAGAAAAGGAGTGGGCTCATTGGCTAACCGTACGCTGCTGTGTGGGGGGGAAAGCAGCACAGAACTACTGCTGCCCTTCTTTATGCTCATCTCGTTTTTATTTTATTTTTTTAAAAGTATCTCCCTGCGAGCAAGATTCAGGGCTACAGAAATGAGTAGAACTAATGCACCGGGTGATGTGAGTTAGCCCCGAGCTCTGGATGTACGGCAGCGTGGTTTAGCCCCCCCAAGTTCTCTGGTCTGCTATACGGGTCAGAGGAACGTTTCAGTGTTCACAATATACACAGCAGCTTTTAATTCCAAGTCACAATATTGTACAACTGTTTCACATCTACTCCCGTGTACCACGAGTACTGGTTAATATCATTCCTCGTCATTTTATATTTTTAATGTTAAATATCTTTAAACATGTCTTTCACAAATGTCTTAATCAAGTGTTACTTTGCTTTTAAATCATCTTCAGGCTTCCTTCCATATGTTGGATGTGCGTGTGTATGCGCGTGTGTGTGTGTGTGTGTGTGTGTGTGTGTGTGTGCTTTCACTGGTGTCTGTCCGCAAAACTGTAACAGAGTCCAAGATGTCAGATTGTGGACTCCAGAGTGCAAGTTGATACTGCATGTCTGACCTTACAGAGCGTTGGCCCTTGCGCGATGTGTCGATGCCTAACACGCCCTTTTAGCAAGCGGCTCTTAAACCAATATGGCCGGGCGATGAAATATTCGGGCTACATGTAATAATCTGTAATACGACTCAACTTCCACATTGTTGTACATTCCAGAGTTTGACACCGAGACGAAGAAGAAAATCTGTGCACATTTATAACATATTTTCAAGTGATATTTGTTTACAAGAGCTGTATCCTTGCATGAGCTGAGATTCTCATCAAATAAAATGAATAAATATCTTTATTTACTGTCAGACTATTTTTTCTTTTTTTGAGTTTTAATTGTGCGTCACTTGAAAGTTGTCAAGGACAGCCGTTACACTTTTGCCCTGCTTGAACTATATCGACTTCTCAGAGGAGAGAGCGGGCGTTTTAGGGTGAGATTAGCCGTGGCTGATGTTCCGTCTGTTACGGTATCTGATGTCCGTCTGTCGCGGTGAAGAGGGCGCTGAGCCGGGAAGGCCAAGCTTTCGATTTACCACTCGATCCCGTGCTCCAACCCTCACCTCTCATGAGCTTGGGGTAGCAGACTTCTATGTTACCCGTGAGCAGCTTTAAAGCCCCTGAAAACCTCTCCTACGTTAAATACTTGTGAAAAAACAACAAATAATTAAGGCTTTGTTCATGGAGAGTTAACCAGGTATGAACTACAAACTGTTTCATCAGAAATGTAACATAAACTGCACCAACGATAGCAGAAAGTGTGTGTTCACGTAGGACACCATCACTGACACATCATACATGTTACCCAGCATTCATTATTGCATATCTGTGTAGGACGGAAATACCAAAGAAAATAAGAAATTCTTCATTTAATTTAATGTAGTTTATATGCATGTATGTATGTATGTATGTATGTATGTATATACAGCGGGTATGGAAAGTATTCAGACCCCTTTAAATTTTTCACTCTTTGTTTCATTGCAGCCATTTGTTAAAATCAAAAAAGTTCATTTTATTTCTCATTAATCATTAACTCAGCACCCCATCTTGACAGAAAAAAACAGAAATGTAGAAATTTTTGCAAATTTATTAAAAAAGAAAAACTGAAATATCACATGGTCATAAGTATTCAGACCCTTTGCTGTGACACTCATATTTAACTCACATGCTGTCCATTTCTTCTGATCCTCGTTGAGATGGTTCTACTCCTTCATTGGAGTCCAGTAAAAAATAAAGAAATAACTTCTCGGAAGATACGCTGAACCTAGACATCGTACCTTTCTCGCCCTCTGGAAGGATATCTGCCACGTGAATGCTGCTGCTGTACAACAGTCTCCTCTCTCTCTTTAACTGCAGACGACGAAGGCCGCCCAAAGAAAATATTACATCTGGAGTTCAGGTCAGTTCGGTATGTTTTTTTATTTTTTCCATTAAAAAGAAAGGATTGGGCATAAGCTGGAGTCAACCATGCATAGTCTGCGTGAGCGCTGTACGTTGGTGTAAGTTTAGTTCAGAGAGCCGGGCCCCTGTGGCAGAGATCAAAGGGCCTCCTGCGATAAATGAAAGCGTTTGTGCGGAGGGGAGGCCGAGGCTTTGTCTGGCAAAAAAACAGCAAAAATAATTGCGATTCTTTTGAAGTGTCCCTCTCTTCCTCCTCCCTTCCACTTTCTTCTCCTTTCATTTAGTCTCCGTGTGCTTTGGCCCTCTTATCAGCATCATGTGACTTTTTGCTCATTTCCTGTTCCTTGGGCCGCCGTTGCTCTCGCCATGTGATTCAAACTGAGCACGCCGTCGCCGACAAATCAGAAACTGCCACCAGAGGCGTTTATAGAGTGTCGTAGTTCGAAGAGTAGGGCCACTCACAGAGTGGACATCAACCAGGTGACCAGAGACCCCGAAACGAACTATGTCTTTCAATCAGATAGATGTTTGTTTTTTGTTTTTTTTCTGCTCACCAAATCATCAACTGAATGATTAATTAAATAAAATGATTCTCAGGGCCAGGGGTGTCGTTAGGCCCATTTTTAACTCTGCGTGGACGTCTTCATTTGCTTTCACTGCCAACGATGCTGGCTTACCTCTATGCTTCCAGAACAAGCACACAGCATGTGCTGAAAAGTGTCATGCTGGAGATGAGCGAAAAAAAGTGATTCCTCAGCTGCTGCAGCAAACTGAGCTCTTCATAAGAGTTTGATATTGTTATAACAGGTAAAATTGCAGTAAAATGTGAAGAATTGTCTTTATTCTTGTTCTATATTTTCATAAATACAACAAACTATAGTTTTTGTATATATAATATAACTATATATAACACTTTATAAACTGTGATATCAAATAGCTTTTGCGGCTCCGGACAAATTTTATTTGGTGGAAAATAGGACAAAATGGCTCTTTGGTTAGTAAAGGTTGCCGACCCCTGCCCTAGACAGATGAGAGGGTTATTCCAAATGGAGGAGTAGTTTTGTTTGTATTGAGAAATCTCCAGAATGGTGTGTGCCCTTGCTCATGCCCACTGAGAGTGTTGTAAAATGAGATTTCTTTGTTTTATCTGTTTTGTTGTGTGACAGCGAGTCCATATCCCGAGATGGCGTTGTGAGTACTCCCTCCATTTTTACCCACGTAGAGTTAGATTCATTGCCCAGTGCTAGTTTATTCATTTAAAATGCTATGTTATATATTTCCATATTTGGAAGAGCTAGTCCCCCACTATGTCTTCAGGCAAAGAGTTTTTTCATACTAATTTTCGGCCTTTTGTCATTCCATAAAAAAAACATAATTGAATGATTATATTTCCTCAGAAATGGTTACTGGTATCATTTTCCCCATAAAGTAAGATTTATTAATTTCCATTTGTTTAAATGTAACTTATTTTTTTGCATTA